GACGCCGGCGGTGACCTGTTGTTTTTGTTGGGCGAGACCGGCCCTATCGGGGACGCGTGCAGCCAGTGCGCCCCGAGGAAAGGCCCACGGTGGATCCCTCGCACGTCACCCCGCGTTGGACTTTGAGCCAGGCCTATGTACTTTTCCAGGAAGAGCAGCCACACTTTCCCAAGAAGAGGCAGCCGACGGGCACAGGACAGACGTATCAAAGCCGCAAGCCTCTCCCCTCCGACGGAGGGGTCAGTGGGGAAAACCCGCATCCCCAGGTGCTCCTTCCCACCTGCTCGCAGCAAGGAGCTTCTCCTATGCAGACCCAGGGGCTATCACCGCTCGAGTGCTGGCCACCGGCACCTGCAGCCCGGTCAGAGCGTTGCTGCAGCTCCTGCTCAGCCCCACCAGCCGGGGCCCCGCACATTGGCCGAGGCGCTGGCTCTTGGATGAGGATCGGCTCCAACCCCTGCTGGTGGCTTAACTGGTTTCCTTTAGAAAACCATGAGAAGACCACAGGATCCACAAGACGGAGTTGAGGAGGACCTCAGTAGCCCAACTCTATCTTTCTCGGTTTGCGTTACACCATCGCAAAGCCGTCAGAAGGCAGGGAACCCACCGTTCCCGACAGCCCATCTCCATGCTTTCCCATCTCTCGCCCTCGAAGCACGTCTGTAGAACCTGGACTGTATCTGCCGCCCAGCTGGTGGACCTCTACACGTGAAGCACCCGGTGCCATCGTCTCATCTCTCCACTAACCTCACCGCACCCTTCCCTCCCAGCAGCCCATGTGCCACGGACCTCCGGCCACCCTTGTCCCCGTCCTCCGGACCTGCCCCGAGCAACCCCCATGCTGGTCGACGTGCAGGACCCCGCACGTTCCTCCTGCACAGTCTGGGGTGTACGTGCCCGAGTGGCTTACACCATTCCTCCACATGACTAACACCCGGGCGGGAGTCCTCGACCGACCTCCTGCCCTCCGCAATGGTGGGATTCTGGCAGTGGGGGCTCACTGGGGCTCTTATAAAACACTGCTTGGGACACAGCTTCCCGTGGTCTCCGTGTGTAACAAGGGCTTTTCCCACCCGTGGAGGACTGAGCCACCGCTCGCTCCGCTCTGGAGCAGGTCAGGTGCCCTCAGAGACCACGCTCTGATGTCCACCACGTGTGTGCTGCCTCCTCCTCCCGGCCCGAGGTCTCACCGCAGCTGCTCTTGAGGTTGCTGCAGCCAGAAACTTTACTTCTGGTGCTGGTTTTGGGGGGATTTAACCCTTCTCTTTCATCCAACCCTTTCCCCACCTTTGCCTGACCCACCACAGCCCCTCCTGGGTCTCCAGCCCCCGCGATGTGCCACGTGCCGCAGAGCTGCGTGCTGACCACCTCACCTGTGCAGCTCCCATGGTGAACGATGACTCTCTGGATCTCGTTGAAGTCAGCGACGTATTCGGACGAGTCACCCAGGCTGGTTCCTGGGAGGTCCCTCGGAGGGGAGACGGAGCCGTAGGGGCTCTCGCAGGCTGCCTCCTCATCCGGACTCTGGAAGCTCCCCTCCGACTGCCCCGACATCCCGTGCAGCTCGGGGTTTTCAGGGCTGTCCTCAGGAAGGAGCTCCTCCGTTTTGATCACAACCCTTATACCAGCTGCAGCAAAGAGAGATTCCCACCCACCATCATTCCTGGGAGCCAGGACGAAGAAACCGCTCGCAACAATCCCCACCGGCTCCCCCCGGGCCAGCTCTGGCCGCTGATCCTGCAGAGGGGTTTTGTTTGCTCGGTCACTTCTGCTCTCCCTTCAGCCCCTGCCCTTCCACCACCCCTTCCACGCTCCTGCCTCTCGCCCGGGATCCTCCACAGGCACAGGGGCCTCCCTCTGCCCGGCCTGGGGGCTCAGCGCCTGCCGCTCAGCACCCCTCTGCCACCCCACACCCCTTGGTCGCAGTGCTGGGCCGGCAGCTCCCTGCGGGCAGCAGATAATTTTTCTCTTCCCGTTGGCCTTGATTTTAACTTCAAGATCCTCATGACCAAGAGCACGGACGGGGGGGGCGGAGCAACCCCACGTCCGCAGCCCGGGGCCAGCAACCAGCAGCGGAGCTGACACCATCTCTTCTAGGACACCTCCTTATTTCCCTATCAGCCCCCCCTTATCTCAGAGCGGGAGTCACGCCGGGACTCGGGGTCCCCGCTGCCCTTCTCCCAGCCCAGCCCTGCCCTTGGAGAAACCCCTCAGCACCCCGGGTGCCTGCACGCAGGATGGGAGCAGGCTTTCCTGCCCCGGGGGGATGCTCCAAGGATAAACCCAGGCACCATCCACACAGCCAGAGAGGGTGGAGAGGATTTTTTGGGAAGGCTACGGCTCCCTCGAGTGGATGGGTTTTCCCAATGGGACCCGATTCTCCCTTCTTGCCGGGCACGCCGGCTCCCTGAGGACCTGGTCTGGTTGCAGATGTTCCCCTTGCTGATGGCTCCTAGTGCCCAACTCTCCGGGTTCTGCTTGCCGTGGTTTATATGTTGGGCCGTACCTGGACTTCAAATCTCTCACCAGCCAAACCTTTCCCAATCCTCCCGATAACCTCCTCGGGCACGGCTCTCAGCAACACTTGCTTTAGCCTCGGGGTGAGCAGCTCCTCTGAATGCAACCTACGGCTCCCCTCGCGCTAAGCTGCCGTCTCACCTGCGGTGGCATCGGTAATGATCTCGCTCTCCTCCAAGTCCTGCTTATTCCCGACCCGCGATTCCTCTCCTTGCTCGGTCTGAGACAAAACACCAGGTTTGGAAATTGCATAGTCTGTTGAGAGACAGAGGGACGGAGGGAGGGATTACTGCACAGGGAATCCTAATATCGGCTTCCACCTCTCCCCAGTGCCCCAGGGGACACGTGAGGACGCTCAGGAACATCCACCAAAGGGGCTGCAGGCAGAAAAGCCTGGTGCTGCAGGCAGGCCGGGCTCCCTGGACGGGCAGGAGAGATTCACGGAGGCAGGAGCTGAGGTGCCACACAGAGAGGAACTACCTTCGAGAAGAAACCCAACCTGTGCATTTTTCTGGCAGGGTTTTAGAACTTCTCAGGCAAATTCCTGGCTTTCCTGAAGCCAAAAGCATTTCACCTCTGGCCCCAGCAGAGCCAGAATTCCTCCGGCAGCTTCAGTAGGAAATGCCCCAAAGGAGCGTAGCTAAGACCGTATCAGACAACTTTTCACTCTGCAAAAGTTGCCTCTAAAGGGATGCATGGGCTGGTAACCGCTGCTGACCCAGAAGATGAAGGGAAGTCCTTCCAACAGACACGGGGAAGGTGCCGCTTTTTCACTGAGTAACCCTGGCTGGAAGGAGCCTCAGGAGGTCTCCAGCCCACGAAACCATGGGTGGCCCCCACCCAGCCGGGACAGCCCCGCGCCCCGAGCTGGGAACAAACCCGGACATTGCTGGAGGGATGCCCTTACCCAGACTAGAAACGTCCTCCCGCGTTTTTAAGTCTCCATTTAAAATGGGACATTTGGGTCTCCAGGGGATCTCTGAGGAGGACGCGGAAGATGCCCAAGCCTGCGGGCAGCCAGCAGCCCCAGAGAACCTGCCCTTCACCAGGGCGAGGACACCCCGTATTTACCCAGGGAGATCAGCGACTCGTAGTTGCCCTTCATCACGTTCTTGTAGAGCTCCTTCTGCCACTCCTCCAGCTTCTCCCATTCCTTGTTGTTGAAATAGACGGACACGTCGTCAAACGTCACCGGCACCTGCAACCACAAACAGCACGGGCTCAAGCGGCTGCCTCGCTCCCCAGGAGCCCAGCACGTTATCTCCGGCCGCTGGCAGCGGCAGCTTGCTCCCGCTCGGACGTGGCTTGGCTTCAGCTGCTTCACGGCCATCAACGAGTTGGTTCTTATATTTAAAACAACTCCTGGACAACGTATTTCTATGAGATTAAAGGTTCTCAGCCAAATGGCCGGTTCCTGGTGATGAACCCAGAGCAAATGACACCGACCTCCTCCTCTCGGTCCCCGCACCGGCAGAGACAACTCTGCAGAGGAGACGGGGCTTGCGCCCGCCTGGAGACAAAGTAAAGGAGATAAAAATCGGGCACTAGGGCTGGACCTCATCTCTATTGATGAGCTGACGTAAAACCCCAGATTCAATTACCCCAGAACTCGAGGGAAAACTCTACCCGGGCCTGAAGGGCTCCCAGTTTTCATTAGCTATTGTGTGCAAACGGGCCGGGAGCAGACCACAGCTTTCAAGCTTGTTTGCCGAGCAATAATTTTGAAGGATAAATTCAGGATGCGTGAGCCAGGCTGCGTTCGGCTTCTGCTCCCCGACCGTGCTAACGGGGTGTCAGGGTACGAACCCCCCGCGCCTCCAGACCCCCTCCGCTCTCTCCGGCGAAGCGGCGACATTTGCTTTGCCGTGTCTCCCACGGTCCCATCTGCAAATTTTCTTTTAGCGAGAGGGTCGTGAAATGGAAGTAGGAACTTAATGTCGATGGTTGGCTCCTTCCGATGCTCGGCTAAGCCCAAGTGTGAGCGCAGGGAGCTCATCTGCATTTCCCTGGATCCCAGAGGTTTCCCCCTTCCCCGCAGCAGCAGCTCCCGCTTGCTCCTTCCCTGGCCCAGGAGACCTCCACCGCAGCGCCAAGGTGGTAAAAGAAATGGTGGGTAAAAAAAAAAAAACCCAAAGAACCACCAAATCGGCAGGGTTTCTCTCAAACGGTGGTTCAAAAAACACCAAGAGTCAATCGCTCCCAGGCTGCACAGCGTGATGAAGCAGAACTGAAACCTCCAGCCTGAGTTTGGAGGGATGTTCCCCTCGGGTCCATCTCCCACCGCAGGCGGGTCCCAGCGGGGCAGACGCTGGGAAGCTGCGAGGGACAGCTCCGCTCTCTCCAGGTCCCGACGGCGAGCGACTCGCCTGCGCCAGGCCTGTCCCCGCTCACCCACCGCGTCTCGCCCCTCGTCCCGCCCTCCCAGGAGCGTTTTGGGAGCGTTTCGGGGACAGACCCGGGCTCCCGCACCCCAGGATACCGTTACCTTGGGGACTTCCCCCTTCCTGCCGGGGGGCAGCCGGAG